TCCAACATTTTTCCTACTCAAATTGATTAGCGCATTGAAAAAGCATAAATGGCGTTGGAACAATATACGTATGACGAAAATTGTCGGAGTAAATCATTTGCAAAGAAGAGCATTGTAAAGGACAACAAGAATACAGGTGAGGAGAAGGGAGAAATTTCATTAGAATTACAAGTTTTCAGTGGCCCCTGGTGGCGCAGCGGCTAGCACGTGGCGCAGCGGCTAGCACATCGCGTAGCAGCACCACAGGTCCAGGGTTCGATTCCCGGGCTGGGCAAGGTTAACTGATCAAAGTCGTATTGTCACCTGTATGGTGTTAAATGCTCTCGCCAACGAGAGGCGCAATTTAGCACTCCTTGTCACGATGAATTTCGGGTTTGAGCAGATGTTACTGTCAGCAACATTAGGGCTTCCATGCCTCACGAGACTTAACCGCATTTACAGGTCCACTGTCCCTTCAGGACAAGTCGTAGAGGTTCAACCTCCACTATTGCCCCTCCAGGAGAGCAGTGCACCACCTGACGGGGACGCTATCCCCCCGAGCTACTAGAACCGCGCCGCGCTATGACGTGCCAGACCCCGAGGCCGGCCAATAAGCGACCTTTTCCAGGGCCTCCATAACCACCAAGTTCATAAATTTTACCCCCTCGTGGCCGACACTGCCTAGGTACAGATCCTAGCCAGTAGCTTCGCAGAGTTCTCTACGTCGACCCCTGGGGGGATAGATGTTACTCTCAGAGAAGTGAGATAAGTCAGACAAGACAAACTTATCTTGTTTCGCAGTCGATAACGTACTTCATGCAGGAGATTGCTGGCAAAATGACGAAAATAATTTCATAGGAGGAATCTGTATAACCATATTTTATGACATCTTTCAGATCTGACAAATCTTGCGGATTTGACGTGTGTGCCTTACATTTCAGATAACAGCAGAATCAGAAATCCATCGAATTGAAATCGGGGGGTTGTAACTGCATGGTTAGGAGAGATGACTCTATCTCCAATTATGCAACACTGTTGTATACCGAACAATTGTGTTTTCATACGTGTATAAGTGATCTCTTCAAAGAAGTAGGGACTGAGAATGAAAGTGGTTGCGAAGCCGCACGACACAGTCACTCTAGCTTCGTCGCCACATCGTGAAGATTTTCGTCAGCCTAGTTAATGCAGTTCTTGGAGGTTACGTTACCAGTTAAAGAGAAAAGCACCTCATGCGTCCATAATTCCGCAGTGGCCACCTGCTATCTTCATCATACCTGATAAGGAAAAAATTCACAAAGCTGTTATTCGTGTCCAGGTTGCAGCATCTGGATGCGTTGGGATCGATAAGAAAACATTCTCAGAATATGGAGCAGAAACTTTAGGGCTGTGGTTTTCGGTACATCCAAATTTTCGCAACGACTTCAACAAAAACACAAGATCGTTCGGATTGCAAGAGCGTTCAGTTCCTTCAAATTCTTCTACCAAACCACGTACAGTTTTTGTGGAACATGAGCCTTGTCAGCTTATGACTTCTTGGATAATCTTGCACTGCTTCAGCAGCATTTTCGAGTCAGTTAAAATAATTTTATTAATTCACCTCGTTGTTTCCCTGTAAGTACCATATCGTTGGTAATTTCGAACACCTGATTGAAGAAACATTCTTCCCACGCTACTTATTAAACGTTTTCCATAAGCAATGCTTTACACATGATGTTCTGTGATTGGTGCGTCTACTGTCTATCTCTGTGAATATGAAAAAAAAAGTGCGTCAATGTACCTCTTCTCTGTGTTGTCATTGGCCCTTTACAATGCCCTTCTTTGCAAATGTTTTATGCTAGCAATTTTCGTCTGTACTTGTGTAAATTTCGTCCGAATTTTCATCATACGTGCATCGTTCCAACGACATTTATGGTTTTTCAATGCACTGATCAATTTGCGCAAGAAAAATGTGGGTATTTCCATTTCAAAATTTCGAAATAATTTCTCTGTAAACGTAACCGTTTTAATGTGTAATGGTTTAAATGTGTTCTTTGAGTAATTGTTTCAAATCATCACAATCTGGAGCGCATACCGTCAAATCATAATATCTGAAATTTCATTTCGATTGGTTGAACGAATAGGCTGCTAGGTATTCATACATCGGGGAAGTTTATCCGTGGGTTGCAATTTTGAATTTTAGTCATGAGAAGAGTATTCCCTGTATGTATGTTTTTTGACTGTAGGCCAACTATGTGTGCAGCATGTTTGACCGTTTTTGACTAGCTATCTCTACCTATATATATATTTTTTGTATTACTTATATCTGAAGTCAACGTTCTGGCTTTTAAGCTGACTACTTCCTTCTTTTAAAATATTTCCTTTTCTTGATTTTTGACATTAAAAACATGTTTTCCCAAATTTTCGGAGTTGTTATGTTGCACCACATAACACTGTCATGCGTTTATGATCCGTGCAACCTGGCGAGTGTTGGTATTGCAAGAATCCTCATATCTTAAATATATTCTCGAGGTGACCTATCAGTTAGTTTCCAGTAAGTTCCTCCAGACATGACGTAAGATCTTTAATTTATTTTTCAACAGTTACAACAGCAAACTTCTATTAGCATGAAACATTACTAGCTGATAACCAAAACTGAAATTAAGACTAAGTCATTCACTGTCAAAATGCTTGGCAGATGTTAAAGGCTGATAGTTATTTACAAATGTAAAAGTATTTGAAATATAATGAATGCAATATAAACAGAAGTTAACATGCTAATGATTTTAAATGAAAGAAAACTAACCAAAAAGGTAATGGAAACATTTCAGAAGGCAATAGAGAGACATTTTAGCGAAGCTGCTCAGGTCATTAACGAGAAGGAGATTAAAATTTGAGGAAAAAAGGAATAAAATAGCTAATAGGTATATTAAAATTAGCATAATTAATAAAGATGGAATCAAAAATTAAACGAAGATATATTATAAAAAATTAATAAATTAAGAATAAAAAATTGATTGTAATAAAATAAACTGAAAAAAGTTCCATTTATATCGCGTGATATTAATAATAATAATAATAATACACTACTGGCCATTAAAATTGCATAAAGCTAAGCAAATACAAAAAAGATATTTATTGCAAATAAACAGTATGGCATGAAGACAAAATGATTAAATTTATAAACATTTTGGAGGTTTACAGGGGTGCGAAATTAGCAGAAACAGCTGCCAAACTTGGCAGCTAAAACGGCCCTTACCCCGTAAGTCAAACCGGACTTGGATGATAGAAATAAGCAACTCATTCCATGCTGCTTCAAGTCAATGCCATACTTCATCAACTGTATTAGCTGTAACAACAACAATTGTGGCATGCCTTGTTCCGCAATTCGAATAGTCGCACTACAGGTCCCCCCACTGCTTAGAAACAGAGTCGGAGGTTCAACCTCCTTTCTGGCCCCTTAGAGAGGGAGGCGCACCGCCCCAGGTAGTCACCCAGAACGGCACTGGTCGTCATTTGCTACCCACCAGTCGCTCGGGCTGCCCGTCGCAGCGGGTCATTACTCAGTGTACCCGGGGGAAATCCCCCGGGCTACTAATTCCACGCCGCGCTAGGACGTGCCAGATCCCGAGGCCGGCCAATAAGTCACCTTTCCCGGAGCCTTCAGAACCACCAAGTTCATAAATTTTATACCCTCGTGGCCGCGACTGCCTAGGTACAGATGCTAGCCAGTAGCTTCGAAGAGTTCTCTACGTCGACCCCCGGGGGGAACCACGTATTAGCTGTAGAGAGGTGCGGACCATTCTCTCAGCAACCCATGACCAGATGTTTTTAATGGGCGACAGATCTGGAGACAGTGCAGACCAGGGCAGCAATCAAATATTCCGCGTATCGAGGAAGGTCAGAATACCATGTTCAACATATGGTGTTGCATTATCTTGTTGGAACATTACTTTTGGATAGGGCACAACCACTGGACGTAAGATATCAGAAATGCACTCATCTGCGTTCATTATCGTCGATCCGAACTAGATATCAGTGTCTCGTGTACCCAACGGCTGCCGAAACCATCACACCATGTGTAGGGCTCCTGTTCCGATATCGGATACAAGCAGACGACGAGCGGTCTCCTCGGACACTCCAGACCCGTATACGGCCATCAAAATACTGCACGTAGAACCTGGACTCGTTTGAAAAGGCGACATTGTGCCACTCTTGCATCCAGTTTTATCGTTTCGCACACCAGAGTCGCCATCTCTTGCTGCTCTGCATTGTCAAGGGAAGCCGAAGTAATGATCACCCTGCTGATAGTCCACGCTGCTGCAAACGTCGATGAATCTTACGAGCTGATACTAGACGTGCTGCAATATGCCCATTTCTTGACTAATGCGCCGTGATGTGGTTATAGTGTTTTGCAGGGCTGCCCTCACAATATTTCTGTACTCTCTGACGTTAGTCATGGAAGGGCGTTGAGATCCTGCATGCCGTTCAGTATGACCCTCAGCAATCCATTGATTCCATATTCGCATGAAAGTGGTTGGATATCGACCAGTGCGACCGGCGATATTACGGACGACAATCTACACTTTCGATAGGCAACGACCCTTCAACGATCCTCTCGAAACTTGCTGGTAAGCATTTTCTCTTCTTATTTGAGGCATAACACGATATTCTGAGCGAACTCCAACCTTACAAAGCACTTTTCCGAATGAAAAATCCACTACACACCTTTTCTTGTATGCAGTGCTTGAGATGTCGTTTCTTCCTCATGCGTCGTCTAAATGCGCTGAAATACTAATCATTTGCAAAACCAACTTCTTCCTTTCATGTGATTTTGACGTTAGTCAGATCATTCCTTCCTGGTGTTGCAATTTTAATGGCCAGCAGTGTAATAATAATAATAATAATAATAATAATAATAATAATAATAATAATAATAATAATAATAATAATAATAATAATAATAATAATAATAATAAAATGCTGATACATTTATTTATATTGCTCATGTCAGCAAGAAATTTTATATCATATCAAACAATTACCTCTATATTCCGGGAAACAGGTGGTAATCGGCGATGTTATGATTTTCATTTCAAACAGGTCTTTCTTGTTCAGGAAGAGTATAATAGCAGTATCTTCAAACCATTTGTTGTTACAGACTGAATCAAAAAGTTTCAGACTCTCATGCATCCGGTTCTGCATAAATAAAATTACATAGAAACAGAGAAGAAAATTAGCCAGTAAAGAGCATTTTAATATACTATAAAATGCATTAGAGAGCAAATATTACAGTATCTTTACACTATTTAAGATCAGTATTTTCAAAATTTATTATATTCTTATTAGATTATTTGAATTAGCTTTACGTTATCAGAAAAGCTATCAATAAATTACCGACAACATAACATCTATATTTTAACAGACGCCTTATATGATTAATAATTAAAAAAGAAATTCAGTTAGAAAATTTCAAAATATAAAAATGGATAAATTATCAACAATTAAAAAAAGGTATAAACGGAGATTATATAACTGGAGATCATATTTCATACGTCTTAAAAATGTAAATCAGTAATGATGTTTTAGTCATATAGAATGTTAGTTATAACACTTATGAAAAGGGAAAGCTGTATGTTTACAGCTCAATACATATTCGGAGTCAGTTCAAATTGGTTATTTCTGAAAAGCTCACATTAATCCCTTTAGAAATGTGCTTTTGTCTCTTAGGTTAAAAAGAAACCTACAAAACCTACCATTTTGTATTAATATTGTATAAGGATGCTAGAGTAAAGTAAATGATTTATTTAAAAATAATTTGCTACCAGGTACTTCAATCAGCATATAAATTCAATGCTATATTTATAGTATATTAACAAATAAAATACTCAAGGAGACCTTAAAATTAATTTTTTGTGCATTTACCATTTTGGGCTTTGAAGGTTAGAGCACATGTAATGAAATTCATCATTTTTAGTACTCAGGAATAAGAAGTTCACGGTGTTGAAATTAAAGTCTTTGTAGATTTCATGCCAAATTTTGATAAATTTGCTATCAGAAAAATATTTTATATACTAAGTATTACTTCGAAATAAAAATCTCAAAACATTCAAAATGGCATTGCATTTCAAAATAAAAAAATCTTCTCGAAAATCCGGAATTCAATCTTTGGATCACATATCGCTCTAAGAGTTAAAAGTAACAATGCTAAATTTTTGGCAAACTTTGGAAAAAAGAAATTCTGAGAGATAGAGACAGATTCGTAGGGCACGCATGTTACAATCGTCAGAGACTCCAATTTATAATTGATCACCAAAGCATAAAGGAATTCAAAAAATAAACTTGCCCTCTGCCATAAGATACGAATTTGAGGCTCGTGAAATTTCAGGTGATATGGGCCTCTCGCTACATAACATCTGATATTGTCTAGTGTTCAGTTTTGTTATCATCAAGAACTTTTCGATTCGAAAGAAATTAGAAAGATTTAATAGCTGAATGACAAAACTATTCCGTAAATCAGGAAGGCCTGAATCTAGATCCTATCCAAGAAATATATTTACAGAGCAACCAAATAAAACTTAAATCTTTGGAATGATAGGCGGTCCTCTAGTTGACAAAGTGCTATTAATTAGAAAGGCATTGCTTAACTGACATTGCTTCCGAGCTGTTCTTTTAAGTCCGAAAAGGGTAATACAAGCGTATAAGGGTAATATAAGTGTATTTGACCACTTAAATAGTAAAGCAAAAGATGAATGATTTCGATAAATGAATCAGCATGATGTGATTCTACAGTTTAAAATATTCTGCCACTGATCTTCCTTCGAAACGACGACCTTTTTTTTAAAGTAAAAAAGAAGCAATTGATTAACTGAGAATTACTCTTAATTACTAGTTCGCAAGTGAAAAGAATTAAACTTTCTTGGGAAAAATTCTGTTTTTAAGTTAAAATTTATGAAAAATTAAATGTTGTTTTTGAAAATTTTTATTTAACATATTTTTGGTATATTTGACTATTTAATTATTATCCTTTATTCAGCGAAGATTTAAAAAATATGCTCTTCATAAATGACTTTTCTTTTAATCTATCTCAAGTGTTTCTATAATAAACAATTGATATTCTGATAGAAATATAACTTTTAATTTTCCCATAAAGCAATAACAGTTATTTTTTAATTTAAACTGCGCATACCTATATTATATGAGTTTAGAAATGTAGAGAAGAACTTCGATAACTTGATATTTTCAATAACACGAACTAATTGTTTTCCCTTAATGAAATGTACTAAAAAGCAAGCTTTTCTTTATAAGCCGCGTTTCTTTTAATTCGATTTGTGGAAACGTTTGGTAATTTGAACTTTTTTAAAAGCAGCAAAGTTCTTTTCATTGAACTTCTTTCTTGATAACAGATGGAACATCAAGCCATGGAAGTGTAAATCAAATATCCTATATAAGCACATTTTAAAGGTGAAATAGTAGTTTGCATTCCCTGGATTTCCTCAGTTTTTTTTGCAATCTTCACTACTACAAGCAGCTGTACACTTACTATTGTGAATATTTAAAAACATGTATATAAGAGTAACACGCAAAATTGAAATGTAAAATTAAGCAAAAATACCTAATGTAGATTTTGAATAAAATTTCAAGAGCGATTGACACAAGTCTGTCTCCTTCAGGAGGAAAAAATCCTTTTTTTTTTCTTGAAGAAGAAGAACCTATATCAGTAGTCCCTAATAATTAAACTGTTAATGATTTTAAATGTATTTAACACAAAATGTGTTTACCCTTTTTTAGAACGATTTCGATAAAGAATTTAAAAAAAAAGCAAATGCTTCTGAATAAAAATCTCTGGCAACAGCTTATTATTTGAAATGAGAAATATCGTCCGCTTCTTTAAAATTTATTCTTTTTCTAAAATGTCGTTTGTAAAAAAGCTGTGAATTGGAGAGTTTTTGCGCTTTCCGACGAGAAATTGTCCCATTTCAAAACTCAAAAACATTGTGAAATGCATGGTATTAAAATTTCTAAGTCCAGAATGAGCTATATTATTAATAAAAAAGGGAAAAATCATCAATCTTTACTATTGCAATGGAAAGAAAACTCCAAATGCCTACCCGAAATAGATGCGTTTATTATTCCTAATGTTTCTAGGTTAACTACCAGTTGGTAACAAGAGAAAATTCGCCGACTCAGAAATCTGTTGCAAATTCTTTAAATACATCTGTTGAAACAGTAAACAAAACCAAAATTGACTACTTAAAAAAGTTAAAAAAACATTATGTTCGCCGACTTTTGCCCAGGCATGTGGATCAACGCAGAACAATTTGTACAACTCCACATGAAAACTATTTAGCAGGAAGTAAATAGAAATACTTTGTGACCTTTGATATAGTATGGCTTTACCTAAATGACTGCAATAAGAAAAGTTTTATTTAGTGCAGAAAACGAAGAGGAAAAAATGTAGAAATCTCTTTCCATCAATGCAAAGAAAGTTTCAATAAGGGATTTGTGATTCTCGCAGGATTCTCTTACAGCGGGAAATTGAAAATAAGAAGAGTTTAAAAAAATGTTAAAATCAACTAAATGTACTATTACGAGAAAGTTTTACGTTCGATATTTACAGAGAAAATGCCCTTTCTTTATCCCTGTGACTTCCAAAGAGTGAAACTTCATCCAGACAAAGACCCCCACCAGCGGCTGAGCGGTAAAGTCGCTGAACCCTGGTAGTTCGGTCCGAGGTTCGAATCCTGCGAACGGGCTGGTTGCATGGGTGTTTTCGTGGTTTTCCCCATGTGTGACATGTATACGAGCCAGTTTCCCTTAGAAAGTCCTCCACGAAGGCATCCCTCCCCTTAGGCAGATAGCCCTCGAGGCTTTGCCGTAATTGAATAACCTAACCTAACCATCCAGACAAAGTCATATTTGGAAACGTATTTCTTCATTCTTTGAAAACGGGAAGACTGATATAGGTATTGCATATATACCTTTTCAACGTATTCCTACAAAGTTTCCTAATGTTTCATATTTTCAATCTATTATACGGGAAAAGGCCCGATAATGAGCTTATCGAAGTAATTCTACCGATTATGAAGTTGGAGACTCTTTTACCGTCAGCGCAAGATTTCCTCGAAGTGCGTAATCCGCAAACATTAGAAGTTCTATTCCAGCTCGCGGTGAAATTCGAAAGCAGAAGGAACTCTGAAAAAGCAAGTCAGTTTGGCCAGTACTCAAGATTTACTCCTCAAAAGAAACCACAAGTTCAGTACAACGGTATCGGCAGACGGGTAAAAGTGCAATAACAAGAGCGCAGATAAAGCAAAGGGTGGCGGAAAGAAAAATCAGCGTAAAAGAGGCGGCGGGTAACCAGAATTTAAACGCAAACCGGTGATCGAGAAGGGGCAACGGTCACCGAGTGGGAACGAAGACCCATCAGAAATTCGTTTGAATACAGTGGTGTTACAAAATCTAGCTATGCCAGAGATACAGATTCTGATAAATAATGTACCAACCACTGCACTCCTGGACACAGAGGCGCAATGTTCATTCCTCTCAGAAGATTTTTACAGAAAGCATTTTCGTTGTTACAGACTGTTTAAAGCCACGGAACAAAAATAATTGCCACAAAAGGCAAACAGTGCTTATGTTTGGGGAAAACCGCACTGTATGTTCAAATTAAAAACGAGGTGTCAAAAGTTAATTTTCTAGTTGTGAAAAATTTACTCACGTCCGTCATATTGGAGATCGATTTTTACGCGCATCCGGCGCAAATCTTAATTTTCAGAATTCTACGTTTCAAGTGCACATGGACCCTGTAGAAGAAGATGAAGGTTTCATGCCGGAATTGCTCTTAGACCATCTGAAGCTTGAAGAGAAAGAGAAGATTGAAAAACTCGTAAGAAAATTTAATTCTTTGTTTAACGACAAACCTAGTCTGGTTTTGTCAGGTAGTTAACCATTCTATCCATACCCATGTGTAACGTGTATACGAGCCAGTTTCCCTTAGAAAGTCCTCCACGAAGGCATCCCTCCCCTTAGGCAGATCGCCCTCGAGGCTTTGCCGTAATTACATAACCTAACCTAACCTAACCATTCTATCCATACTGGGAATGCCCCTCCAGTCCGCTCAAAACCTTACCGGTATGATAAAGTAAAAGAGCAAATTTTGAAACTCATATAAAACTATGTTAAAGAATAAAATAATT